GGGAATCCCAAGGGGTTCCCCGGCCAGGTCCGGTAAGAAGTCCGCTCCGACAGCTTCTGGTGTTTTTAAAAAGTATCCCAGGGGCACGGTAAGGGTCGGAGATGTTTAGTCTGTTTAATTTATGACTATATAAAATGATTTCTTCGGTTTTAAAGTGTGAAGTAAACGCCGACGAAGTAAAATCCAAGCTGATCCCGTTCATGTTTACGATACATGTTTGTTTAGCTTCTTTTACCTGCCAATATGACGTCTACTAACTGAGAGTCACGTGGGGTCCGGAGCTCTATAGAGCTGGTCCAGTGCTCCACGGCCAGGACAAAAACCACATTGTTCTTCCTGAATCTGAGGTTCGACAATCCAACGGACCATTCCTCTCCAGAACCCCTGAATAGACCTTACCAGGAAGGCTCAAGAGTGTGATCCTCTGTAGTTGGAACACACCCTGCGGTCCCCCTTTTTAAATAAGGGGACCACCACCCCGGTCTGCCAGTCCAGTGGGACTGCTTCTGATGTCAACGTGATACTGTAGAGCTGTGTCAGCCAATACAGCTCTACGACATCCAGAGCCTTAAGGAACTCCGGGCGGATCTCCTCCACCCCTGGAGCCTTGCAACCCAAGGGGCCTTTGACCACCTCAGTGACCTCAGCACCAGCAATACATTCTCACACCCAAGGCGTCAAAATATGGCGCGTGTGACCAAGCCTCAATAAATGATGATTTGGGACGCCCCAGCGCATCAGGAGACGACGATCAGGGACAAACAGCTGACGCAGCGTCCCAGAGCGTCGGTATCCGACACCGGTGGTGAGACGGACGCTAGAACTACTTGTGAACTACTTGACCTTCCCCTCACCCCAATCCTAACCTTAAGGTCAGTTTATGGACCTTAAGGTTAGGATTGGGGTGAGGGGAAGGTTAAATAGTCGAATAATGTCCGTGGGACCGCGCGTGTCAAACAGTGACGCCAGCGGTGCCACGTGACCCAGCGTGTCCCTGATCGTCGTCTCCTGACGCGCTGGGGCGTCCCGAATCGTCATATTGAGGCTTGGTCACACGCGCCATATTTTGACGCCTTGGGTGTGAGAATGTGTTGGCACCAGAGATTAGAGAGCCTAACTCCGCTTCCTCACTGGAAGACGTGCTGCTGGGATTGAGGAGGTCTTCAAAGTATTCTGCCCACCGATCCACAGCATCTCGAGTCAAGTTCGGCAGCACACCTCACCACTATAAACTGTGTTGGTAGCGCACTGCTTTCCCCTCCTGAAGTGCCGGATGGTGGACCAGAATCGCCTCGAAGTCGTACGGAAGTTTTGCTCCATGATCTCACCGAACTCTGTGAGACCCGGGGTTTTCTGCGACCACCCGAGCCGCATTTCGCTTTGACTGCTGGTAGCTATCAGCAGCCTCTGGAGTCCAACTGACCAAAAAGACCTGACGGGACTCTTTCTTCAGCTTGACAGCATCCCTAACCGCCGGCATCCACCAGCGGGTTCGGGGGTTGCCACCACGACAGGCACGGACGATCCTGCACCAGAAAACTGGTTAAGGATGTCAAAGTTTAATCGTCATCTACTTTAAATGTATTTAACGTAAAATAAAGTAAAATACAATTGACAGTAGGGCTGAACAAACACCTTAGTCATAGATAAACAGAGATGGTGAAAAGTAAGCTCATCCTTTTCATTCTAAATAATAAACTGCGGTTTCTCAGATGCTCAAAAGCTGCAGCATGTCAAAGTTTCAGTGTTAAAAGATTCCATGAAAAATCCACATTTTGGAGCTTTTTACCAGGTGATGTTGTTTTTGCCTCACGAAAAATAACTCATCTGTTTTTGGTTGCATTCATGCATTTTCTTGCTTCAGATGAGTAACGTTTTGTAAGTGCTCACAATAATAAGCTGTTAACAAAATATGAAATGTGTTCCTTAAAAATATGAATCATTAATATTGTTGAACCTTTAATAGCCGATTGGCCCTGGAAAGGTACTCTTATCAATAATTTGACACAGAAGCAAAAATATAGTTTATAAAAATCTATTTATTACTATATTTCTACGACTAATGATTATACAGATTAACTGGAGGTAAATGATTATTTAAGGTAATATTGACAATAACCAAACTAATGAAACATGGTCTTGGATGTTATCAAGAGTCTTAAGTGTCTGGGGAAAGATGTGAAGTCTGGGATGACGAGAATAATGTGGCTGAATTCAGTGATGTTTGATTAGTTATCAGATTAATCATAACCCATCCAACACCAGTGTGCAGAGTATTTGGGATCAGAGTTCCTGGGAGGGAGACGCAGCTGGCAAGGCGGAGTCGTCTCTAAGGCTGACGAGTGATTAGACTTGTGGGGTCTTCAAAGGTCGTAGGTCCCTTGAAATGTGGCCCGATCTCAAAAGAGATGTTCGTTTAGTATTTCTAGCATTTTAGCTGGAACTACTGGAACAGTGTCTGTCTTTTAAGGTCCATGTTGGACCAATCAGAGGCCAGTAAAGATGTCGACAGCGTTATCAAAGACCTCTGCTCCACATCAGTTCTTAGAGACTCATAAGAGACTATTTCACTTATAATGTGGTCTAAGTAGGATCTAACCGTCATTGTTAATATACTAATATTAATGTGTGGCATGACTGATGATAAAATCGTTAACTCATCAAGTGGATTCATTTGGTCTGTTTGATTCATTTCAACAGCCAAGTCTTAAGTTCACTTTAGATAAAACACTCATTGTTCTACGATTGTAATTTATCTGTAATGTAAGAGAAATAGAATTAAGACAATATGATTCTTAAGGCTAAGAGTTCGGTCTTCTGAAGGAGACGTCGTGTGACTTGCAGCAGAGATAATGAATTATGGCGGTTCTCCCAGATGGCGAGGCTGCAAGAGCATTTGTTTTGCAGCTTCTCTGGCAAAATGGAGATGGCTGGGCAGTGTAATGACCTTTGGCATCACATGGCTTTCTTAATGGTACAGCTGCAAATTTGAGTTTTATTTTGAAAGGCCTGCAAAAGCCTTGATGGAAGCTAAGTGTGTCATAAGGCTCTGCTCCTCCCCCTGAAGCTAATCTCGGATCTGAAACGCACCTCCCCTGGAAGTAAGTCACCAACGCCCACTTTCTCCTAGTCGTGAGCAGAGCGGTTGATTTCATGCTGCAGTTGAGAATGTGACCTTCATGTCACAGATTTAAACCTCCAGTGGCACCAGAGTGGATATTCTAGTTAATTACTTCTGCACTGGGGACAAAACACAAGTCCTGTCCACTAAGACGCACATAACGGCCGGCGCAGGACATGTGTGTTGGGCGACTAACTTTTTGTAACAGACATGGTAGTCCCGTGTGTAGCGTCATGAATGTCCTGTTTTTGACCTAAAGGTCATAATCTGCTGCGTCTACTCGAGCGGAGACATAAAGTCTCTGACAGGCTAATCTACATGAGATAGTGGCCAAGGTCTTTCATGCACTCTGCTCATCTGAACTGCTTCACCTCTGTTACAGCTCAAGACGAAGACGAACTATTCTGATAAATAATCAACAACTTTGTTAATTACCAATAATAATGTGAGACCAATGTTCAATCTGTGAAATGACAATGTTATTACTTGATATTATAATCCTGTGATCAGTAGTATTTTACAAGTAATTGTGATCTTGGACATTTGCACTAGACACTGATGACACGTAATGCTAAAGTCACACGGCACATTTCCTTTTGTCTGATCCAATCAGAACCTTCGTTTCTGGCTAGGTGTGGTTATCTGTGGTGTTTGTATAAACCCTCTTTTGCATGTCAAATTCTGATTCGCCAGTAAACCAAAATATGACAATTATAAAAACTATCCCACGCCACCTTTTCTTTAGTGTTCTAGAGAAGTCTCGGACCGGCCATCCAGACTTCCTCCTCAGCCAAAAAGAACCTCGACAAGCTGGATAAAATCTGTTGCACGTTACACCTGACCACAACGGTTCCTTCAGAATAAAAGCTGAACCTCACGACCCCTTCAGGGTCTCGGAGACGCCAGTGATAACCTGTCGTGACCTGGAAGCATTCCAAGACTAGTTTGGTCGGCACCGCTGCTTTTCTACCGGCTTTGGTACCAAGGAGGGTCCAAGAGGACCTCGACATTCTGGATCTAACGGAGGATTCCCCTGGGGTACGTAGACTGACAGATGGCGTTTCATGTGTTATAAACCTCCTACTAAAGCTTAGAGCGAAACATTCACTCCCACTCAGAACTAAATGCTCCTCCGGATCTGCTGGTTCTGAATAACATTACACACGCACACACACACACACACACACACACACACACCATCATTCATCTCACATCTCACTCCACCTTAGTCCATCAGTACACAGAGTGTTAAAGTTAGTCTTGTTTAAATTGTGTAGAAATAAATTTAACTATTATAAACCTGACTCTCTCTTTCCTTTGAGTTAATACCAAGTGTCGCTTAATCCCTGCAATAAAAAGTTCCAATCTTCTGGTTTAAATATTCAAAAATCCATCAGATTGATATTTCATAATTCTATGGAATCTCACATTTTATGTTCATAAGTAAGATGTAAACGACCCATTCTTTACACGTGGTTAAAGTAACTTTTTCAGCTTCGCTGGGCGACAGGGCGAGGGGCGGGGAAGTGTCTGTGACATCCACACGCCGAGGAAGGCAGGGACGGGCGGAGTAGGTGGTGGAGAGGATGAGATGGCGTTCTGTGAGCGCGATGAGAGCTAGGGATGGATGGAGAGGGGGGAAGGCCGAGCCTCGGCTGGAACTGGAGCGGGTTGGTAGGCGAAGAGTGTGTCGGAGATTAGCAGAGACGTGAATACACGGTCCAGCCACAGGGATTCAGTGGGTCTGAGAGATCACAACATCCTTACCGTTTCTCTTTGCAACCTTTTCTCTCCGTGGAAGAAGGACGACGCAGAAGAATTTGTCTAAGGTTTATATTTTCCATATTTAAAGAAGTTAAAACCATCAATAAATCCTCACCAGTGTCAATGCCTCTGTTCCCATCCTTTTCCCTCCGTAGAGCCCAATACACGGTTCTGGTTCCGGCACTGTGGCACACCGAGGTCCATGACTGGGAGCTCAAGTGTATGAAGAGCTTGGTGATGGATGAGAGCCACCATGATCCTCAAAGGGGTACAGCGTGCCCACACACACACACACACACACTTGAAGTGGGTTTATGTAATCAAGCAGAAATTCAGAAGCATCGTAGGACTCAAGGAGTTTATCAAATGAGTTTTTATTTTCTGCTAAATTAGCTGAAGCTTTTGTTTAAAGAGCAAATTCATTGAGAAACTGTGTAAAACTTACTTTATAAGTGCGACGGCTCACTCTGGGGTTCTCATGCGTGCTGGAAAACATTTTCTTAAACCCCGTCAGCTGCATCCGCTGCTGAATGGAAATAAACCGGAGAACAATCGGGTCAGAAAAGGCCAGTTTCTTCTACGTCACAGAGACAACTAGTATTCATGGCTCCGCCCACCTCGGCTTGGGACCGCCCACAAGAAGGAGAGGGCATCGCTGCTAGTAGACGCTAACCATTAGCATTAGCAACACCATAACATGGTGGAAACATGTTCAGGCTGATTAGTGGAGATAAAAAATCAGAATGAAGGCAGCAGAAGAGTCACGATGCTGTTAGCCAATCAGACGCGAGACGTTTGTCATGAATGCCAATGAGTAAGACGCCATTAAACAAGAGCATCAGAGTGTGTGTGTGTGTGTGTGTGTGTGTGTGTGTGTGTGTGTGTGTGTGTGTGTGTGTGTGTGTTATAACTCAGGAGATCAAAGGAGCTTGTGTCTTTTGAAGCTTGTTCAGGTATCACCCCACACAAGATCTTGGAAACCCCTCACCCCTGGAGTCTGATCCTCTCTAAAGACCGGGTGGAATGCGAGTGTCATGATTGTGCTTGTGAGTGGGCGGACGAGCACTCGTGGGTGCATCCTGACAGACGCTAATGGATGAGTCACATTTTGGTGGCTGCAGGGCTGAACGGGGCAGGATTCTGTGTGTGAGTCCAAAAGCTGGTTGGGATTTAATAAATAGTTCAGGTTTCTTTTAATGGTGATGGTCTGAATAACGGGATCTGTGTGAGACGGGCGTAAAAAAGTTCACCAGGAAAGCTGTTAAAAAAGCTGAGAGTCTGAGAATGTTCCTTTGGGGTTATTTAAAGAGGAGCTAATTCATCACCCCAAGAGTGTGTGTGTGTGTGTGTGTGTGTGTGCGCGCGTGTGCGTGTGCATGGGTGAGTGACAGAGTGAATCAGGATGAGTCATCCCTATTTGCTGGCCTGACAGACTGTCTAGTCCCCGAGTCAGCCAGGGAAATTGAGCTGATTAATTTGCTGCTTCGCTGATGCACTTCTATCGTTTTCCTCTCTTTGCACTTTCACTCGCTCACTATTAATTCATGAAACCGGCCTTCTTAAAACTGATGACGTCACTTCTGGGAACCCACAGCTGCGTGTATGGAGTCACAGAAACAGCCTGAACTTTCTAAAACTCCTTTTTGTCTTTAATGTATTTGATGCAGTTGTTTTCCGTCTGCTAGGTGAGGGGGGAGGGGCACGTGGGACATGTGATATGACCATTTCTTCGCTTCTCAAGGCAAAAATGCCACTTCGCTGTCAGGACCTGTTTCAAAGACCGCACATTACATCACAAAGTTCCTCCTGTTACACCTGTTATTAACTCCAGATATTAGACCCGTCCCTGCTGGCTGAGCTTGGGGACATTCTAAAATCACAAGTCAGGAACTAGGCTCGACTCATTGCCTCGTTTTTCAGTAAACCTGCTCTAATATGAATGAATGCCTGTGGGGAAAGAAAGCTCTGGCGCTCCAGCTTCAGTGGATCTGAGGCAAAGTCACCATGATTAATATTCCCGATATTCAAACGTCGCATTTCTCGTAACAGAAATGCAAATATTTACTCAGAATACGTAAAACATGTTTTCCTGGGCAAAAAAAAAAAAATACAACATTGGTGTTTCATCTCCACAAACTACACAAGCCTGAATATGTTTGTCATGTTTTGGAGTTGCTAGTTAGCTTCCACTAGTCGAGACGTACTCTGCTCTATCCTTCCTGTGGGCCAGTGGCGTGCCCAGATCTTTTAAAATGGGGTGGCACTTCTTTATGCTTGGGTGGCACCAATGGTTATGATTTTTTTTCCTACCCCAAGCATTTTGTAGACAAGTCTATTTAATGGGAATTCAGTGGGGTGGCCAATCAGATTCCAAGGGTGGCATGTGCTACCCCAGGCCACCCCCTGGACACGCCCCTGCTGTGGGCGGTCCCAAGCCTTGGTGGGCGGGGCGGGCAGCAGTAGCTCTGGAGGTAGAACGTGTTGTCTAATAATAGGAAGGTTGCAGGTTCATTCCCAGCTCTGGACCGAGATTTCTGATGTTGTGTCCTTGGGCAAGACACAGCCCACCTTGCCTGCTGGTGGTGGTCGGAGGGACCGGTGACACCAGCGTTCACCAGCCTCGCCTCTGTCAGTGCGCCCCAGGGCAGCTGTGGCTACATCGTAGCTCGTCACCATCAGTGTGTGAATGGGTGAATGACACACTGTAGTGTAAAGCACTTTGGAGTCCTCTGACTCTGAAAGGCGCTGTTCTGATTGGATCGTTTTCCAGTCTCTTCCCTTCCTGTGGCGAACACAAGCTGTGGGGGTTGAAGAAGGTTTGGCGTGCTGAGTGACGGATCGCAACAGTTTCTGAGTGAGCGAGCCCTTTAAAATTAAATTCATAGCTTATTCCTACTTGTTGTGTCGTTATGCTGATTTATTGAGAACGTTTCACCTTCCGTTGAGTTTTAATTGAGAACTTGAAGAATTTGAGGCCCTTTTTGTGGGTTCTTGTTGGGTTGAATCAGTGAAGCGTAATTCAGGAACAAACTCGTACATCAGTCTGTCTAGGTGCCTACTCATGATTGGTCTTTTTCCAAGTGAAATGTCATTTGTAGAGGTGCTGAAAATAATCTATTCAAGTCTGAATCAGGATTCTTATTTATAAAGATTCAGAATCGATTCCAAGAACTCAAATATTTGGCACGTTACAGGTTTGAGATGCACTTTTTTGATCTTTGTTAGGAGAGTCAGTACTGCGTTTACTTTTGTGCTCCCATAAATTGAGATGATTTATGTTTGAATCTGCTGATAAGAGGGCACTTGAATGTAATTTTTTCCATACTCAGACATTTGAGATATTCTCATATTTATTTTCTAAGTTGATAAATGAGTACTCAGGATTACTCATGTAACTAGTTTCTACACATACTTAAAGTATTTGACTGTATTACTTTCAAAGCTACTGTTAGGTAACTACAGATTAGTTATATTTTACAAGGTAAGCAAAAATAAATGTTGCCTTTTGGTCAAAAGATTGTTTCTGTTTACAGTTTTAGAATCACTTTATTTTACATTGTAAATTTGCATTTTTGGAGCATGACCAAATAAAAATGTCCCATAGCTTTAACTAACCTGTAAAACAAAGTAGTTCATCCTGGAGCTGACACTCTTTGTTAGTACTGATTGTGAATCGATTTAAATCGAGAATCGATTCTGAATCGAATCGGCACCCCAAGAATCGGAATCGAATCAAATCGTGAGTTGCTCCAAGATTCACATCCCTAGTCGTTTGTGCTTGTTTGTAATAAAGTGGGATGGATTGAGTGGTCAGACGTCTGTCTCCAGACGGTTGTTTCTTCTTGTTGCTAACGGTTACAGTAAAAATCAAGACCAAGCCACAAGAACATCCTAAAGGTCAAACCAATACCTGTTCATTTGTTCAGCGATGTCTTAGTAAGAGGAGATATTCTGGTGCCAGACCAACAGTGAGCCCAGTCAGCGTTTTAGGATGGAGCTAATGTGATTTCAGAATGTGCTTAGTCAGGCTGAGAAGAAGCGAGAACACAGAGGTGTGTTGTTCCGTCCTCTAGAGACTTCTTACCTTTTGTATTCCTCGCTTCTCTACCCTTTCCTGTCCTGCCCGCTGATGTTTCGGGTTTTTAATTTTTTATTTCCTTGAATAGTAGCAGATGCTCGAGTCCTGCTCTCCTCAGTCTGCTCCTGGGATACCTGCAGTGTTTTCTTCCTGCCTGCCCGCTGCTTCAGCCTTGAGCGGTGACTCAGCCTAAATTTTATTCAGTGCCCCCAAACATCCTTCAGCAGCCGTGTCTGCATAATTAAGACACATTTAGCCGTGTTGGGTTCAGCATTACGTAAGCTCTGTTACAATAGCATAAGAACTGCAGATGGGTTTTGTCTTAATTAAACATAAAACCCTAATTGATGAGTAAGGATTTGGTGCTTGATGTCTTCGGGTTCCTGGTTTGGCAAACACAGCGAATCCGCGGGTCCTTAAGGTCTTAAATTAGCTTTTCCAAATTTAAAGCCTTAAAAATCCTTAAAATGACAAATTATTCTTAAATACAGTTTCCAAAGGTCTTAAATGACCAAAGACCCAATATACAAGATTTTTTTATGTCTAAACATTTTTGTGAATTTCTAGTTGGTGTTCAGCATTTTTTGTGTACGATGTTGGCGTAAGCGGAACCGTACACATGCAGTTGGTTGTGAAAGGGGGCTATTTTTAGATGAGCACATTAGCTGATTAAGCTAGTGGGAGCTTGCGCCAGGGGTAAGTGCAAGTTTAATGGTAACTGGATGGCTTATGGTTAGCCCTGGTTCCAGGCAATAGCTGGAAAATAAAGCTTAAATTTATTATTAAAAATAGCTTAAATTTGGTCCAAGTGGCCTTAAAAAAGGTCTTAAAGTCTTAAATTTGGCTCCCTTAAACCTGCAGATACTCTGCAAACAGCAAAAATCAGACATGTGCATGAGTGTCGATGATTTTTAAATCCATTTTAAACTAATTTCTATTGTATCTTGTTCTCTTCACACTTTTCTACAAGTTTTCACCTTATTATCCTAATTGCTGTGGGCGCCGGACATCTGCTTTGCAAGGCTAATTATAAATGTATTAAATCAGAAAAAAGTTATTTTTCTTTTCTTGCATTTGTGAGTTTTCATGTAAACTTTCATCATTCACTTATTTCAATAAAATATCCCCCATAGGTTTAAAAAAAAAGATAAATGAAGGTTATAAATGATCTGTTCTTGTTTTTGGTCATAAACTGGATAATCTGGCAGATTTTTGCTTCTGCTTGTTTTATTGTTAGAATTAGTCTGTGGCAACACCTGAGCCACCAGGTGTTGTAGAAGGAAAGCCTTCAGTGTTGCCCTTTTTGTCAATGACGGGGTACTTTTTTCTGCTCAACACCGACGGACCAGGAAGTTGAACAGAAAACTGTGATTAGCTTCAATGGTTCCGCCTTGATCGTAACTCACTGAGCTAAACGGCAACATGACTTCGATCCAAGCTGTGTTTGAGCTCCTGAGTCAGCCTGATGGTCTGCTGTAATGCTCTGATACCTAGAGAAGGGCCATACATTGTGTGATTTATGTGTGTGTGTGTGTGTGTGTGTGTGTGTGTGTGTGTGTGTGTGTGTGTGTGTGTGTGTGATTCAGTGCTTCGCAGGCCAGAAAGGTTTCAGTAGCTGCCAGCAAGAGTAAAGTAGGGAAATGTACAAACATTAAGCCAACTTCATGAGAAGTGAATAAAGATGTTTCAGGTGTTAAAAAATGGAATTCATCAACTAAAATGAAACGAATGTCCTTGAAACCGTAAGATGTGCAAATGCTTGATCTACAGGGAATGGACAGACAGGCACATGATCTTTATATTAACTAAGTTCTCACTGATGAGAGGCTTCAAGTGGACCCACTAGATATTTGCTCCGTCTTTTTGGACCCTGCATTCCTAACAGCTGTTTGAGCTGAATTGCATCTATTAGTCCTAGAAGAATGTCACCTTCTTAACCTCGGTGGGCATTTAGCCTACATCTGGGCCTACTAATCTCCCCATTCATTTGTTTTTGCTAGTTAAGGTGGAATGCCACCTGCTCAATCAGCCCGAGGGCTGACCCGCTCCCATTATTACTCAAATCTTGTGAGTACAACCTTTTGTCCTTGTTGGGTTTAATGATGAGCAAGTCAAAGCTCATCTCTTTCTGCTTTTGTGTAACAGACATCAGAACCCTGAGAATTTAATGCATTATTGTGAATTTCTGGACGAGTCTTGTTTGAACAAAAGCACGGTGTGTGTAACTGTAAAGCTCTACAGAAGTGTGGTGGTCCTGACTCGCCTGGCGTGACTTTTGTCTCTTACTTAGATCGGTGAAGATCTTTGGAACTGTTAAACGGCTCAGATCGTACCTTGCTTGCATGTTTCAGTGTGTTTAAAGCAAATCAGATCTTACTGATCTGTTTTGTGGGGTACCCCAAGGCTCCATTTTGTGCCCACTCCTGTTGTTACCGTTTATACACCCTCTTGAACAGACAATTAATTCAATAGTCATTTTAATTTTCTGTGAAAGGCGTTTTAGTAAACTTTACTTAAAAATAGGGCTGTCAGTCGATTAAAAAAATTACCTAATTAATCGCACAATTTTCTGTAATTAATTGTGATTAATCGCAATTTATCTGATCATTAGCCTGGCTGCTCTTACACTGTTTTCCAACTTTATATTTTTCTATGAAAAATAAGTTGTCACACACTCCATGGAAACTTTCAGAGAATCCACAAATAGTGGCTTTCAAATTGTTTGGTTACTTTTTGCAAGTTTAGAAAAGAAACCGATGAGACAGCATGTTGATGATTTAGTTTTTCATCTGATAATATTAGAACATGTCAGTAATGTCTGAGGGACTTTTTCAAACACTATATAATTAATACTCCTGGGCAGGGTTTGGATTACACAGAGGCTTCGGGAGCCCAGTTATAGGGGTGGGGGGTGTTCTGTTTTGCCTTGACCCCCAAAATGCCTTGAAACGTCCCTGGGTGTGTGACAGTTTTGAAGGTGATCTGAATGATATCGAATGTATAAATATTACTTGCGTATAACTTATTGTTTTATACAGGTAAAAACGTGTAGTGGAGATAAATCTACCTACATTTTACTTTGTTTTCTTGTTTTTATTTAACTATTTTCCTGTCCTGTCCATCTCTCATCTTCCTGTATCTCCTCTAAACTCTCCAGAAAATCTGCTGCCTGGATTCTTACTTTTTCATCTCATCAGTTACTTTTGAGCAGATCAAAGGGATCTCCTGACCGCAAAGTGGAGAGTGTGTTTCGATGCTGCGTCAGTGAGGTGAAATCACCACAGCACAGGTGATGAGCTCTGCAGTATCTGAGAGCTTCAGGCACAAATAAGACAAAGTAGAGAACATGTGCGGACATGAACGATCATGTGTTAATTATAGTTTTTTGGTTAAGCCACTTTGAGAATGGACCGTGCGCTGGACGCAGCAGCCTGGAGCGCACCGACGATGTGACCTGAGAGTGAGAATAATCTCTCACAAGGCACTGCGGTTGCAGGAGTTAACAGGTACTTGCATGCAACAGGTGCCAGTCTGGAATGTGCTTCTTTTCTCTTCAGCCACCACTGTAATGGACAGTGTCCAATTAGGGATGGGTACCTTTGACATATGAATCAATCTGGTACTAATTCCCGGTACCTAGGAATCGATACCGGTACTTAACGGTATCAATTTTAGATACTTTTGAGTGTTTAATATTTTAATTCTTTTTTATAATTAAATATAAATTTTTCTCAATATATAACCATATTTGATAAATATCACAATAAATAACATACAACTGTTTGTATTTGAACATCGTCCTTGTAGTTTTATAAGCTGATAATTAAACTGAAGCAAACATCTTTAATGTGAACTAAATTTACTGTGTATCTTCATTCCTTTAGCCGTCCTTTTTCATTTGATTTTTCCTACTGGGAAGTTAGAATTTCCGAGGAGAAAGCAAACGCACCATTAGCTGATAACAATGGTGGCAATGGAAGCTAACATATCAAGCTAACGTTATCTTAAACATTTTATTTACCTACCGGAGCAGATTAAGATGAGGATGTCTCACTTAGATCGTTGTCGCTGGTTTCATCATCACCCAGTTACCCATCACATTTAGTGAAGTGGACCCAAGCTTTAGCGTGCGTTCTTTCTACCATGCTGCTCTGTTTACAACTGGCTCGCAGCGACCGACGACATAACGCTCTTGCGCATGCGCAGCTGTCTAGGCAAGTTCTCGTTATGAAGGACGGGTACCGAAACGAGGCACCGTTTCAAAAGACGTGAATCGGTGCTCAGTCGGTACTATGGAATTCGGCCGCTACCTTAAAAAGTACCGAATTCGGTACCCATCGCTAGCTACGAGTCAGCTGATACCCTCACTAGTAGAATGTATGTGTTGATTTTGAGGATAGTTTCCTGGGGGAGCATGGTGAGCCAATTCTTATATCATGTGACTGGTGAGGCTTGGCCTTGGTTTACTCGTGCATGTTTGATGATGAGGAGACAAGCTTCCACAGGACTCCAGTGAAAAGATAAAAACTTTATTTCACAGCCTGTAATCTTACAGAAGTGTCCAAAATTAAGTTTTCCTCAGTTTAAATGAAACAATGCTACGGTATGAAACCATATTGCTCTACACCTCACCACGCTCAGCTGGATGTAACTGGTTTTACAGCCCCACCACGTGTGTCTGCCTTTTTCTTAGTGACAGTAACCTATTTTCTACCCTCCATGAATTGACCCCAAAAAAAGACTTCTTTTAACAAATTTACATTTTTAAATACACAAATGAAATTGCTTTTAGCTTAACTTATTCATTTCATTTAATGTATTTATAAAGCCCCTTCTGCGACCATTGCAGACGCCCAAGGTGCTGAACACAACACAATAAAAATATAAAACTCTCAGAATGAAATTTAACAATCGTAAAACCAACATAAAATGAATTAAAAGAGGAGAGTAAAAGCAAAAAATAAAATCCAGAAAAAGATTGAGGCCGGGGCTTCGAAACCGGGTAAAATTTGCTAATCCTGAAATGCCTCGACCAAAAAATGGGTCTTAAGGCGAGTCTTAAAAACCCCCAATGAGGGTGACTGACGCACCCCCAAAGGCAACTGGTTCCAAAGTGCAGGTGCCAACACCGAGAACGCACGGTCCCCCCGTGACCTGCACTTAGTGCGTGGAACGATCAACAGCTCCCTGCCGG